ACAGAAATGGATGTATAAAAAAAATAAAGGGGGAGGAACAAAGATGGTGGAGGAGTGAGTCGAAGACACACTGACCTCTTCCCAGGACCAACCTGGAATTACAACTAAATTGGGGAGAAATCACCTGGAACAAACAACTGAACAATGGCGAGAAAGGAGCCTTGTAACCTTGGAGACAGAAGAATCGGCTTTAGTGCAATCTAACTGGTAAGGAGTGTGGTACAGACTTGAGAAGGTGGGCGGGGCGCCCAAAGGTGGCAGCACCAGAAGGATATTGAAATGGCCAGTTGGACCCCCTGAGAAGAGAGGGGTCTAAACCAAAAGCGGGGATCTCTAGCTCACAGCACAAGAGCTCAAAAAGTACACAGAAAACAGCCAGCTGTGAAATGCGGCAGGGTTGTTCTCTGCCAGAGACAGGCGGCTGGAGCTGCAAAGAACTGTTAAAGGGCCAACACATAAATTTTCATTTGCAGCCTCTTACCCTAGTCTCCAACAAAGCTGGGGACAGAATGGGCTAGAGATGCCTGAGGAGAGACGGGGAAGGAGTCTTTGGGGAGAGAACTGAGAGAGTAGCCAGCGGGATCTCAGTTCTGACTCATCCCCCATGCGGCAGCAGCCATCTTGCTCAGGCAGAGACCACTCCCCCTGAGCGGCACTAGTGTCAAAGAACCCAATAGCCCCACCCCCAGTTGGGATTCCACCCCGCCCTCTGCTGTCTAAGCTGCCTGCTGAGCGCAGAGTGGCAGCCACAGACAGCAGATCTCTGGCTAAAGGGGGCGCTGAGAGGTCTGGTGACATTTGAGAGGCTGGGGACAGAGGCTTTGGGGAGAGAATGGAGAGAGTAGCCAGTGGGATCCCAATGCAGACTCCTCCCCCATACGACAGCAGTGTGAGAGGACCCAATAACCCTGCCCACAGGAGGTACTCTGCCCTGCCCTGAGCTGTCTAAGGCAGCCTTCTGAGTGCAGAGTGACTAAATTAACAGCTGGAGGAGACAGCCACAAACAGTAGATTCCTGGAAGTCTCGACAGACTGCCTAAGGTCAGGGAGGGACAACATCTGACATATTCAGAGGCAGATCCAGAGAGTAAAAACAGCTGTCTCCTACCATAGAAGTTCACACCACAAAGTCAGGAAATCAGGACAGATCAACTTAAGAATCAGAAGCAAAAGAGAAGAATCTCACAAATAATGGGAATACAAAGAAATACCTCCCCAACTGAAGGGAAAGGAGGAATCCCCAGAAAGAGAACTAAATGAAATAGAGGCAAGTCAACTATCAGATATTGAGCTCCAAACAATGATTCTAAGGAAGCTTAATGAACTCAGTGAGCTCGGAAAGAATTACCAGAAACTACAGGGAAACTACAAAGAACTTACTGCAAACTATATCAGCATGAAAAATGACATAGAAAATATTAACAAGAGGCAAGAGGAAATGAAGGATACAATTTCTGAATTGAAGAACACAGTAGAAGGAATCAAAAGCAGGCTAGATGAAGCTGAGGACTAAATCAGCGAGCTGGATGACAAGGTAGAAAAAAAACTCCCAGAAAGAGCAAGGAAATGAAAAAAGACTCAAAAAGAATGAAGAGGCATTTAGGGAAATGCAGGGCAACCTGAAATGTAATAATATCTGTATAATAGGGATACCAGAAGGAGAAGAGGAAGGGATAGGGAACCTGTTTGAAAAAGTAATGATGGAAAATTTCCCTAATTGGAGGAGAGAAAATGTCACGCAAGTTCAGGAAGTACAGAAGGTCCCATTCAAGAGGAACCCAGGGAGGCCAACTGCAAGACACATCATCATTAAAATGACAAATATCAAAGACAAACAGAGAATCCTAAAGCAAGCAAGGGAGAAAGAGGTAGTAACATATAAGGGAGCTCCAATACAGCTAGCAGCTGACTTCTCAACAGAAACACTGCAAGCCAGAAGGAATGGCGAGAAATATTCCAAGTATTGAAAAGCAAAGGTCTGCAACCAGGACTGCTCTACCCAGCAAGGCTCTCAATTAAAATGGAAGGTGAAATAAGAAGTTTCCCAGACAAAAGAAGGGTAAAAGAGTATACCTCCACCAAACCAGCACTGCAAAATATGCTAAAGGGACTGCTTTAAGGTGAAGAAAATGTTTCTATGAATACCTAGTTTGTTTCACAATTGCCAATGCTTGATATTACCAATATTTTTAATACTCATTAATCTGATTGTGACAATGATGTTATTTTAATCGTTCTTTACTATTTGTTGAAACTAAACCTGTTTTAGCATATTTCTTGCCTATTTCTATTTTTTTTTTAAAAAAAGCTTTCAATGACCTTTTGGTATTCTTTATCCATTTATTGATTAAAGGTTTGTAGAACTTTTTTCCCTAAAAGATAAAAACAAAAGCAAAAACAAAATAAAACCTATTAACCATGTTTTAGATGTGTTACACATACTTTTCTATTCCTTGTCCTTTAACTTTTATATATATATATTACTATATAGTTAAATATTTAATATAGTCATATTGTCAATATTTACAGCTTCTGGGTTTGAATATTTTACTTTAGGTCATAAAAATATTAGTTCTATTTTCTTCTAAAACTCCTTAGATTCTACATATTGATTTTTAACTCACCAGAATATTTCTTGTATAATGTGTGAAATAGGGCTCTATATTTGTTTCATTTCAAGTAATAGTGGTCCATGCACCTTATTTGTTGAATAAGCCTTATTTTACCCATTGATTTAAAATATTAACTTAATCATATATTATATTGTTAGATATATACGTTTGTCTCTAGAATGCTCATTATATTTCATTGATCTACTTGGTTATTTCTTTGCTGGCGTCATGTTGGCTTAATTGCTGAGACGTTATAATGGTTTAAAAATTTTTAAATATTTTATAATTAACTTTGACATTTAAAAAATAAATAAAAACAATCTGCATTTAAAAAAAAAAGAAAGAGAGAGAGATGGAATTCCTACCTTTCCTACCTTTTGCGACAACATGGATGGAACTGGAGAATATTAAGCTAAGTGAAATAAGCCAGTTGATGAAAGACAAATACCATATGATCTCACCTGTAAGTGGACTCTATTCAGCAAAATAAACTAACGAACAAAATAAACCACAGGCACGGAAAACATGGTGCAGACTGAAAGTGACCAGAGGGGATGAGGAAAGAGGACAATAGTGGAAAGAAGGGGAAGGGACTAGACAAAGAATATTTATGAATGACCCATGGACATGGACAAGAGTGGGAATTTACTGTGGGAGTGGGGGCTAGGGTGGGATGGGTGAGGGAGGTAAAGGGGGAAAAATTGAGACAACTGTAGTAGAATAAACATGATTTAGAAATTTAAAAAAATAAAAGTAAAAGTTATAGTCAAACATGTTTTAAAATATGGTAACACTGATTAGAAAAATATAACTAAGTAACACTGACCCACCTGTCATAAAATTAGGGTTTTCTAAGATTCCTTATTAATAAGAGGCTCTTAGGAAAAGTGAAGCACATTTATAACTATGTAGCAGCAAGGGAAGGAGTTGGTGGGGCTGGTTGGGAACATGCATATGACTAGAAGGCAATAATGAATTCGAAGTTGTGGGCTGATTTTGGATGCCGGGCAATATAGTTCTCAAGGCTCTAAAGAGCTTGAAGTGGTTCTTTTGGCGTTTGAACTAAGTTGTCAATTACTAGGGAAGGAAGGACATGGAGAGATCATTGGTAAGATCCCCTCCTAGCTTGGAAAAACATTTGTGAAGGGAATTGATTTAATCACTGTTAAAGTACAAAAGGAAAAAAAAATAGCTGAAAGGGAAGATAATGTTTTTGATCCTGAAAGGACACATTTATTTCATGAAGTACAGTGCACGTGTGTAATTTAATGCGATAAAGCCAGGCAAAGGGAATGTAAGTGACTTAACATTACTTTAAGTCTGCCTTCACATCCCCAAAATAATCCACACACTTTTTTTTACAAATAGGCGACACTTTTTCCCCTGATTATACAATGTATACATATTCACTAAAAAATGGGAGGAAATAGGGGGAAAAGTTATTTGACTCCATTATTTAAAGATTCCTACGTTCACCACTTATTTCCTGACTTTAAATGTCCTGTATGTACATACGCCATGTAGATGTATATAGAGGAATTCATATTCTGCATGTTTCTGTCACCAGATAGTCTTTGAAGACAAGACTTCTCATGGCTGCATAAAACGGCATAGATGTGCTGTATAAGTTAGGTGTTATTCTCCTGTTATCCGCAATTTGGAGGACTTAAAGTTTTGCTGCTGTAAATATTTGTTTTGTGTTGTTGTTTTGGTAGTTTTAAATATTATATTGATAATCTTAGAATATGAATTTGCGTTCATTCATAAAAGTTACTTTTTTAGTCTGATTCCTGAAAGTAGGATTGGTTAACTGACATTTTTAGTGCCTCAGACTCCCAATGTGCAGCAAACCATGCCTCCTCATTTTTTGTTTCTCTGCTTCCCCACAAAGGGCAGGCTTTGTTTACCATTGTGATAGGTGAAGAGTCACTTTGATTTGATTTTCTTCGACTACTGATATTATAAATTCAAGAGTCATTGCCATCCCTCCCTTTTTTGAGTTCTGTTGTGTCCTTTCCCATGTGGTGAGTTTTATAAGAAACATCAATTTATCAAACAAAATACAGGGGTGGGCAAGAGTGGGTTTACAGTTGTGAGTATGCAAAACACAGTTTATTCTTGTAATGTTATTTATTTATTAAACATTGTATTATTTATTTATATTATTTGTCTTGTTATTATTGTTATTATTTCATATCCTTATTTGTGATATACCTTTTAGGTAATGATGGTGGGTAATTTAACTTACTTTTGCCCACCCTTGTAGTAAAGAACATTAATAAAATGTTTAAAGGAAAGTCAACACATCATTGAATTTGAATTTGATGGAAGTGGAAGGTTCTGGGTTGACTAAGGGTGCCATTGAGAGAGAGATGCTGAGATACTTACACCAATGCACTTGACTACTTTATCCATGATGTTACCCTGCGGCTGGAACTTCTTGTACATTCTACTGCCAATGACAAATACAACTGGACAGGGCAAAAGAAAATGTTAACAAGGTGTTGTCAGAACTACCTGTAACCTAGAAGATGTGCTTTTATTTGAGTTATAACCTTGTTTTAGATATACTAGGATTACTCATAGAATGGGTTTACCTACCTATCTCTCAGTTTAGAAAATGCTTTTGATTCTAACAATCACAGGAGCTTCTGAGTAATGTTATATTTGTGTTCTCACATATAAACAATGAGGTCTACTACTATCTACTTCCCAGAACTTGGAGCAGCTCAAAGACACTTAATATGGCTATTTAGGCAAGAGTTCTATCACTGTGTAAAGGGAGAAAAAAGGAATAAGTGTGTTCACATAACAGATTAATGTATTACTCTGTAAAGACTAAAACCAGCTTTATTTTTCCAGTTGCAATGACAGGAGAAAGGTCTTTTTTTTTAATTTTCAGAAAAAAATAGGAACTAATCTTTTGGAACTTTTATTTAATCAAATGTGATAAAATTTATTCTGTGGTCATGGTCCAGAAACACAGCTACTGTTTTACACAAGAAAAAGCACTTACACAGGGAGGTAATTCTTCCATGACCTCTATTAGGAAAGACATTTTGTTTAAAAAAAAAAAAACCTTAGGAAAAAAACATGTCTAGAAGAAACTCTAAAAACACAATCTCTGTACCAGAATTTCTGATTATCCAATACTAGAATTCAAAAATTTTAAAACACCAATGAATTGTCTGAATTAGATTTTTTCCCCCTCAATTAAGAGAGGGCTTGAGATTTTGATAGGTGTTAATTCTCAAGCCTATCTCCAAGCTGAAGAAAGGGGAGTTTACTTTTATTTTTTACCCAATGTCAATTGTCCTCAATCCAGACATGGATGGTGCCCAATAAATCGAGTGTACATTTTTTCCTAACTAACATTTTAATCTTTAAGCTTCTGATTAACTAATTCAAGCATAAGATTGCTGCACATAGAAACTTTTGAATTGGTGTTGATATATAGGATTTGGCCTGTTCCCAATTCCTCCATAAGAAAAAGCATAATCTTTGACATAAGAAGGACTCATACCTAATGCCAGCTTAATACAGTGTCCAGCCTAAAACAACATTTTTGAAATTATCTTTATCTCCATTTCTATTTTTTTCTTTTAGATTTTATTTATTTTTAGAGAGGGGAAGGGAGATAGAAAGAAAGAGGGAAACATTGGTGTGCAAGAGATACATTGATCAGTTGCTTCTTGCATGCCCTCAGCTGGGGCCTGGCCCACAACGCAGGCATGTGTTCTGACTGGAAATCGAACCAGCGACCCTTTGGTTTGCAGGCTGGCACTCAGTCCACTGAGCCACACCAGCCTGGGCCTCTTTATCTCCATTTCCTTACCCAGAATTAGAGAAGAGAAGGCATGTATGAGTCTTTTAGGGGAGTATGGAAGTAGTTAAAAAATTAGGGAAGAAATTGAACGTATACAAAAAGGAGAATGCTGAACTCTTGCATAAGTTTATGGAAAAAGCTAAATTTCTACATGAGCAGAAGAGGCAAAAAAGGTGCACATTTGATAGAATTGAAAAAATCAGCAGAGAAAGCGATAGTGCTGACTGCTAACTCTCTAAGTGGGAGAAGTGGCTATGAAGGCTTGAGATGGCAAACTGGGTTCTGTTGCCTTCTTGTACTACTGTTATAGGTTGAATTATGCCCCTATACCCCACTCCAAATATGTTGAAGTCCTTATTCCCAGGACCTCAGAATGTGACAATCAAGGTAAGATGAGGTCATCACAGTGGCCCTTCTCCAATATGATCGGTAGCCCTATAAAAAGGGGACATTTGGAAACAAATGTGCACACAGAGGGAAGGGCATGGGCAGATTGACATTATGCTGCCACAAGCCAGGGTACTTCAAGAGGGAGAGAGTCCTGGAAGACATTCTTCCCAGGGTCTTAAGTGGGAGCATAACCCTTTTGACACATTGATCTTGGACTTCCAGCCTCCAAAACTGTAAATGAATAAATAATACATTTCTTTACAATGAATACATTTCTGTTGGTTGAGCCACTCAGTCTGTAGTATTTTGTTATAGTAGTCCTAAGAAATGAAGACCCCAGCCATTTCTCATGCTAGACTGTCCCATCTCATCACATTTCTTAAAAAGCCAGTGCCAAAAACTCATGTGCAAATGAATGCATCTAATATAAATATATACTCATCTTAGAGGGGAGATATTATACTAGAAACATTTTGAGATGATATAGAAACCTGGTTAGTACTGGAGATATTTAAACAATTGGACTAGGTTGCCATGTCTTCAAGTTGTAGATGGTCACATGTTGACAAGAAGAAAAGCTTTCGGCTATGGGTTCAACTAGTGTAGCCTATTCTATCATCTTCATCTTAATCTGCCTAAATAGTATCCAACTATTTAGATGTCCAGCTCAGTAGATCCCTTTTCCTGTAAACACTTCTTTGATCTTATTCCATCTTAAAAAGTCAAGTCTACTTTCTTTGAATTCTCAGAGAACGTTTAACATGGGATGGCAATTCTTCACACTACTCATTGTTACGATTTGTTACATGAACTTTTAAAAATTGGTCACAATAATCAATGTGAAGCCTTGATCTGAGCATAGGATTGTATTAATTCAACTTGTTTCTACTTACTCAGAGCAACAGCCATGAGAGCAGCAGGAACCCCAAATGCCAATGGGTAACAAGCTTGCTTACTGTGAATCCCACATTCTTGAACTGGGGAGAAATTACAAGATTAAAATTCATTATGGCATTATTAATGCTCATCTAGTTCCCATTTAAAAAAATCTCTTACTGGTTATTACGTATTTGTTTTCACTTAATCTTTTAGGCTTATCTATTTGTCTACTGACACAGCAGGGAAGTTGCTCAGCAGCTTCATTAGATTGGCTCACATGGAGCGGACCAAGGACATCAAAATGCTGGCACCCCAGGTCAGAGGTGGCCAAGCCTGGGAAGAGATTAACTGCTAGGAGCAAAGAAAGAACTGACTTGGAACTTTTGAGGTGATTCCTAACATACTGCAATGATGTGCTTTCTCCTCTCTGATAGGACTGGTTTTTCCTGTCTTTTTGCTTGACCACTTCAGGTACAGGAGGTATGGGGCCATTTCAGAATTTGGTCTCTCTCTAATTAAGTGGATCCTGATTATCAGGTTTTCCACTTATTCCCCTGAATATTTTGATGGTCAGTATTGGCTCCAGTGGGTGTTCCTAGTTTTAGGCTTTCTCCTGTTTCTCAGAGGATATGTCAGTTATGATGCCAGAAACTTTCTCTCGCTTGTTTTGCTTATCTTTGTTTGTGGGGTCCATTCAATTCTTTGTTTGTGATCATTAAGAGCCTGGACCCCATCTCCATCTGCAACAATTTGGCAGCTGAGCAAAGGAGTTTTGTAGTAGAAAGAGCAGGAGATGGAGAATGGTCTAATCTCAGCCTCCAGGTAGATGTCTGATACTGACTAAGCCAAAATTGGTTCTTATGTCCAGTGGGTTTTCTTAGTGGTGGAGATAAAAATGACCAGACCACTCAGTAAATAAAATCAAAAGTGGCTTGGAAAATCATGGTTGCATGTTCCTGAATTCATGCCAGTTTGAAAACAATTAGATGACCAAGAGCAAAGTTCAACTAACTTTTCTGTAAAGAGCCAGAGAGTAAATATTTTAGGCTTTGTGAACCATTTAGTCTTTGTCCCAACTACTCAACCCAGCTTTTGTAGGTGAAAGCAGCCATAGGTAATACAAAAATGGATGGTATTTTCTAAATTTCTGGATTTGGACCAAGAGCCATAGTTTTGCTAACCCCTGACTGGGGAATAATATTAACTCTGAAATCCTAGGATTGGTATAAATAAAATTAAGAATTTCAGAAGGGGCAACAGAGAATTCTGGAAATCCTTTTAATGGAATGCTGGGTCCTCCAGGAATCTGATCCTAAAGGGATTTTAACTTTGTCTTTGACTAGCTATTTCATAATTCTGTAGAGAAAGAAGTTACCTCAATATTTCCTCTTCATGGCAATACAAATAAATTCCCTCTCTGTACATAATATAAATAAATCCCTGTAAGTCAAATCCCTATTTGAACTGACTACTATCCAGTCCCCTCATTAGTTAATAAGTTATATAAAATATTTGTCATGTGCTTATTTCATATTTGTGTGAAAATCAGGATTTCACCTTTAAAAAAGTTATCCTTTAAGACATTCTCTAATTCAAACATGCATAGTAGATACTCTAGTAGGTGGCAAGGTAGGGGAGGGTTGGGAACATAAGAATAAAAACTACTAAATTTTTATACAAAACAAGTTGAAATGTTTAAATAGCCTATGCAGATATTCAGAAATCCCACAAAAAATTTTATTTCATAATTTAACATGATTCAGTGTACATATCACAATCTTGTTTTGCTCTAATTTGTCCCCAAATATTCCCTTCTATATAGGAAATTCACAAACTTTCAGTGGATCACTAGCAAACACAAAACTCTGAGTGGTGTTGCCAGTTGCTGTCTCATCTTTTTTCTTGGGCAGCTCTTTTTGAAATATATGAGATGACAGAAAAGCAAAGAATAAGACTTTGCCACAAAATTCTTCCTAAATCACTGAGCTTCACAGGGGAGCAAAGCTTGAAGGCAAAATGTGTGGTTTCCACAGCCTCTCCTGTCATATTTTACCATGAAAAAGGATTTTGCATTATTAATAATTTAGAAAAATTGACTGCTATGCTAAGGATGCCATAGAGTCTTCAGTAGTCATTAGGATAAGGGATTCAAATAAGATTGAAAAGGAGGTAAAACTCGAAAGAAAAGAAGCCCATATTATGGATTTCAATGTCTACTCCAGTGTGTCTGGTAGCTGAAGTAATGGGGGAGACTAGAGAAACAAAACAAACAAAGCAAGAACTTAAACTTTTAACCTGACTTTCTCCCCACAATTAAAAAAAGGAAAACAGAAGTCCCCTTCTGATATTTTTTACCTCTGAGAATGGGAGTGATGATAGTAGAAAGTAAGCTTCCAGCATTAATGGCCAAGTAAAAGATGGAAAAAAATCGGTTTCTTTGTTTCTCCTATAATAAAAAGGATAAAGTTAAAGTATAATGACTTTGGCTATATATCAACTGATCAAATGTAGCTGATGACCTGACCTTAAGTCTTGGATTCAGTCAGTATCTCACTTTCAAGTCTACTTGAAAAGAATCCAGTGGAGAACAAACTTTGTGTCAGTGGAATTTGATTCCTAGAGGTTTATAGTTCATTTATGTGGTTTCTGTGAAGACATGTGCTCTTACCTGGCCCTCTTCAAACTGATCTCCACCAAATGCAGACACACAAGGCTTGATTCCTCCAGTACCGAGAGCTATCAGCACCAGGCCTGTCATGGACAGTGCCCTACAGAAAGAAGAGGGGTGGGAGTTATTGCTGAAATGTGAGATCCTTATGAGCAGGAGCCTCCTATTTCCTAAATTCCCTCTGAAGACCAGGTGCAGCAGTAAACACAGAGAAGGGACTCAATCTCTATGAAAGGAAAATGCACAGACATGCAGTCTTGACAGGTGAATGGAATTTGATCTCATTGATGGACCTTTAAGTTTACACCATTATCTAATAATTTACTAGCTAGAAACTTTAAAGTAATAGCTTGAGTACTGAATATGAATTTTTGTACAGAGTTCTTTTGCAGCCTTATCATTTTCAGTAAAGGAACAGGTAAGTGAAATGTTTAAGCATTGTCTCTAGTATAATCTCAATAGACTCATAACAGTCATTAAAAACATTAGAAAACAAAGCCCCGGCCAGGTAGCATAGCTGGTTAGAGCATCATCCTGATATGCCAAGGTTGCTGGTTCAATCCCCCAGTCAGGGTACATATAAGCATCAACCAGTGAATACATGGAACAACAAACCCATGTTTCTTTCTCTCTAAAAATAAATAAGAAAGAAAGAAAGGAAGAAAGAAAGAAAGAAAGAAAGAAAGAAAGATTGGTTTAAAAAAATAGAAAACAGGATTTAATTGCAAAGCAGAATATCAAGTTATTTAGTATGATCTTGTTTCCAGAAGACTAGAAATAATAGAGCAAAAGATTTGTTATTATAGTCTTTTACAATATTAAAATATTATTTATAATAATTGAAGGGATAAAGATTTGTTATTTTTATTTTCTTTTGCATTTTCCAAGTTATTTATAACTGTTTTACTTTCTGAATTGGAAAACAAAATCACTCATAGAATCTACCAATCCTCATTTTGTAGTTTCATTGAATTATAGTAGGTACTACAAATTTTAGATTTTATGAATTTTTTTCCATATCTTCTGGGTCACTATGTTGCTTTAAAAATATTTTATGGAACAGATAAAGATACTGTGCATAAGAAAGAATTCTTTAAGAAATCATGTTCATCTTCCTGAATTAGCTGGTTGAATTGCTTCTTCTTTCATTTTTTGTTTAATACAACTTAAGTGCTGTCACCCTAAGAATTGTTTTTATTCCAGAGAGAGAGGAAAGGAGAGAGAAAAGGAGAGAAAAACATCAATGTGAGAGAGAAACATCAATTAGTTGCCACCTGTGCACACCCCGACCAGGGACCGAATCCAGGAATCAAAACTGCAACCTTTTGGTTTTTGGAACAACACTCCAACCAGATCAGCCACACTGGCCAGGGATGTCACTCTAAGCATTATAGAAGACAACAAAAACATGGCTAGTTGAATATAGTGTACCATGTACTCTTGTGAGAATTGTAGGTACGCTCCAATAGTAACGCCATGAAATAGAATAAGTAACTAAGCCTTCTTGAGTACTTCTCACTTGCCGGACAATGTTTCCAGTACTCTATTTGGATTAACACACAACAGTCCTGATGAGGTAGGTGCTATTACGAATAAGGAAAGTTAGGCACAGAGGTTAGGAAACTTACTTAAGACCACACAACTAGTAAAGAGCACAGCCAGAATTTGAATCCACATAGTCAGGCTCCAGAGTCCATGTTCTTAATCAATATTGTAGATTAGAAAAATTGTGGGACAGAGAAGATAAGTTCCCTGGTCTGGGAATCAAATACTAGAAATCTGAGCTGCCAGACTGAACTAATAGCCACTCCTCTTGACCAACACAGTTCCCTATGGGCACCAAGAGTATTGTGTCAAGCAAGGGACCTAGTCTGGACAGCAACCTGATTGACGAACAAACCAGAAATGCAGGGACTGTAGATATGAATTTGAATTTCAATTATATTTTCCCAACCGATAAGATAGTTTAGAGATCAAGGAACTGAAGCACAGGTACAGGAAACAAAATAAATCTTTGTAATGTGTCTACTAGACCCGACTGCAGTTAAGAGAAATTAATTTCACAGAGGAGCATTTGTCAATAGCAGTTTTCATTAAGGACTCAGAACACAAGGCTCAACCAAATATTTATGAAACTGAACTACTGAAAGCTCAACAAAAGTGTAATACAAGACAGAAAACCAAAGGTAGAGAGTCTTGAGGAAATCTGGCACAATTAAAGATCAAGGTCAGTAGGAGTTATGTCCCTTTAGGGAAGATCAAGATTAATAAAAGTATCCTGTGCTCTGACCATGTGAGATGTATTCTGGGCAGTGAGCCTTCAAGTTAGCAATGATTCCATACAACTGTTAGGATGGTGACTTGCTGCAAACCCAACTCTTAGTCAATTAAATGGCTTTCCCTATACTGCTAATGAGGGAGTAAAGGCCTCCTTACAGTTACAGTGAAGTTCAAGGAAAAGGATGAAAAATTAGAGCATCAAATAAGCAACCAGTGGGAGGGTGGGGGTAAGGCAGCAGGTAATAGTAACTCACACATGTACAGCAATGTTGTCAGGGGTTCCATCGTGGTTGAAGTCTGAGAGGTCATTAATGGAGCTTATTGCAGTGATTGCCTGTCCAATGGTGTAGACAATGGATAGTGACACAATTGTCCTGTGTTTCAAGGGATTTAAGAAAATCCATGTTAATTGTACAGTCCACTTCCTACTCCAACACACAAAAAAAGTCCCCTACCTTAAACTTTCAAGAGCCCGGTCACAAATATACTTGTTTCTCAAACTTGAGTAAAACTGGTAGCTTTTAGAAAGGCAACCTGCTGAAGAATTTGTTGCACAGCCCGTAATTGCAGAGCAAAGTTTTGACTGGAGGAGTCAGGGCAAGGGGGAAGGTCCATTTTGTCTTTTAATTCTTTGAAAGACTCAGTGCTTTATTTAACCTAACTACTGGAATCAGTACTGGAACTAGCCAATGAGAGATACTTATCTTGTGACTGGTAACATTTGGGCTGCAGTGGACCATTGATTATTTTTGTATTGTATTAAATTATTTTGAGAGTGATTTCCTGCTGCTGCCCACGTCATGTTTTTGGCCTGGAAGAGCCTCCACTTACTTGCTTATTAAGTCCTAGGAACTTCCTGATAACCTGCTATTGAGTGCACCTCCTGGAGGACTGGGTGAGTGTCATATGTCCTCACTGCCTATGGAGCAGTGTGAGCCTTTTGGCAGCTGGGACGTAAATTAGGGAGCTTCTTTGTTTTCCCTACCATTAACTCAGTGCCACACACATCATTAATGATAGTACTCCTGCTATTTCAAGATGAGGCAAAGATGTTATCCCTGTTTGAAGGAGGGAAAAAAGAGCCTACCAATGCTATTTGCATTCACTGCTAAATGCCAGGCACCGTGCCAAGCTCTGGGGGTACACTGATGAGCTGAAACAGGGTCCAGTATGCTCTCCTAAGAATTTTATATTCCCAATTCTTTGTTCCCACAGTCCACGGTCTCAAATCACAAAGCTAATAATTACTCTTTGGCTTGTTTGTGAATAAGAAAGTTGCAACAACTCACTTGAACTTTCCCAGCCAGGAGTCGGCAATGAGAGCACCGAGAATTGGTGTCAGGTAGCAGAGAGCAACAAACGAGTGGTAGATTGCAGTGGACAGATCATCATCCCAGCCAATGAACCGTGTGAAGTACAGAATCAGGAGTGCTTTCCACAGTGGGGAGGGGGAGGGAAACACAGTTAAGAGTGGCTGTGGTAACTGGCCTTCTTCATGCAAAGGGGCAGGATGTCAAAAACATTTACCTTTCATGCCATAGTAGGAAAATCTTTCACAGAACTCATTGATCACGATGAAGAAGATGCTCAAGGGATACCCAAAGCAACTCTGACAAAAGAAACAGTCTAGGGTTAAAATATGCTCCTCATTGGCCTTGGCCCATATTCACAAATGAGTGCTAATGGCATGAAAAGTGCCTATTTAGAAACTTGTCAGTGACCATCCAGAGGTAGAATATAGGATTTTAAAATTTCTATTACCTTACACTCCACTCAGGGACAATAATAAAATGAAGCACTTAGTTTTGCTGTTAGTCTGAGAAGGGCTATATATACCGTTTCCTAAAGAGAAGGAATGTCATACAGAAACTCGGGATTGTCCTCTCATTCATGTTAAATGCATGATACACATTTGTTATATTAATGAAGCAAAAATATGAACATTTAGGAGCAAAACAGACTAAAGTTTATAAGATGAAGCCAAATGGAAAAGAAAAAAAAGGATACTTACCTGTGGTTTGGACATTCCTGAAAGAAACACAAAGATGCCACTATTAAAGTCAAGTAACTATATTAGATTCAACTTTTTATTGAGTCTAAACTCAGACCCTCTGACTTTTCCTGGCAGTCAGATATGTTCACCAGAGTCCAAGGGTTTCCAACCGCCCCCCCCCCCATGCTCCTTACCTCCAGCCAGGCACCCCCACCCCAACCTGCCCCAGCACAGCACAGCAGGAGGGGAGAGACTGGTAAGTGAGCAAAGCTTCACTCCCATTATGGCCTGAGCTCCACTTCCTCTCTCCCCCTCATCCCCACCCCTTCCCTGGTCCGGGGAAAAATTGTCTTTGATAAAACTGGTCTCTGGATGCCGAAAAGGTTGGGGACTGATGGGATTCCAGATGGCTCCAGCCCTCTCCAGGATCCCAGCCCTGGGCCATGTGTCTTATACAGAGCAGGGCCTGGCAGCTCCAGACAATTCTCACATGCAGTCAGAACAGAGAATCAGAGGCACAGAGAGTGGTGTCAAAGCCATTTCCTTCTTAAAACACTTCAAAGGCTGACTATTGCCCACAGAATAAAATCCAAACTTTTAGCATGTTCTTTAGTATATCACAAGGTCAGTGGATTTGGTAAGGATTAAATAATGGAAATATGAAATGCTTATGGGTACCTAAAACACTGAGGATTCAACCACCATTCATGTTACCTGGGCCCATCCTCCTTCCAGCCCCTCCCCCATGCATAGAAGGCTCCCATGATACCCAAACATTTGTTCACTGAACATGTTGTGCACCCACCCAAAGCCCTTAATGCAGAAGACAACAAATCTGCTGCAAGGAATGCTCCTTTTATGCCCTCCTTCCCTTCATAAAGCCTTCTCTGACCTCCTATGTTACCACAGTGCAATAACAGTTCATATTTTTGCTCTACTTTTAGTGGAAGAATCATGTGCTGACCATCTCCACATCTTTTCCAGTACCTACCAGAGCAGGGCCTATTACTGGAAGAGCAAAAAGACAAAGGGTGAAAATCTAAATGAGTTGGTATAAACCAAGTGCTACTGACTATCTTCTAAACTTAGTGCCCTTCATCCCCACTACCCAGCCCCTGATCTTCTGTCTCCCCTGAATTCTGACAAGAGTTGAACCATAGCCTTGTCTCAAGTCTGAGCATTTCTTTTTTTTTTTTTAATTTACTTTTTAAATACATTTTTCTCTACCTCCCCCCCACCTCTTTCCCTTGCCCCCTCCCACCATCCCTCCCTCAGCTCTTCCCCTTTGGTTTTGTCCATGAGTCCTTGCTATATGTTCCTTGACTTTCTCCTTCCCTTCCCTTTCCCTGCTCCCCCCCTTCTCTCTTGTCTCTGTTGATTTCTTTTCCTTTTAGTGTTGCTGGTCATATCTTCCTTGCATCTTTGCATTGCTGCTTAGGTTCCGCTTATAGGTGAGATCATATGGTATTTGTCTTTCGCCCCCTGGCTTATTTCACTTAGCATGATGCTCTCCAGTTCCATCCATGCTGTCGCAAAGTTTAGTACTTCTTTTTTTCTTTCTGCTGCGTAGTACTCCATTGTGTATATGTACCATAATTTTTTGATCCAATCATCTACTAATGGGCATTTAGGTTGCTTCCAAGACTTGGCTATTGTAAATTGTGCTGCTATGAACATTGGGGTGCATAGGTTCTTTTGTATTGGCGTTTTGGTGTTCTCAGGGTATAGTCCCAGCAGTGGAATCGCTGGATCAAAAGGCAGTTCCATTTTCAGCTTTCTGAGGAAATTCCACACTGCTTTCCATAGTGGCTGCACCAGTCTGCATTCCCACCAACAGTAGACTAGGGTTCCCTTTTCTCCACAGCCTCGCCAGCACCTGTTGTTTGTGGATCTGTTTATGATGGCCCTTCTGACCGGTGCGAGGTGGTACCTCATGGTGGTTTTGATCTGCATTTCTCTGATGGCTAGTGATGCTGAGCATCCTTTCAAATTGAGCATTTCTTCATACTACTTCCTATACCAACACATTGCCCAGTGCTTATCAGTGGCTATTATATTCTAGGCCACTTTCCATAGGGAGTCATCTCCCTCCCCCTCTCCAAATACCACAGACCACATCTTAGAATTCTTAGTTGTTAGGGTCCTCTGAGCCCTGCACCCCACCTCTATTAGGAATCAGTGACTCAATAGTGGCAGTTCTCAAACTGGAGTGTGCCTCAGCATGACCCTGAGGGCTTATGAGAACTGGTTGCTGGGTCATATGCCCAGAGTTGCTGTCTCTGTAGGTCTAGGGTGGCCCCATTAGTTTGCATTCCTGACAAATTCTAAGGTGATGTCGATACCCTGGTCCAGGAACCACACTTTGAGAACTACAGACAGGCTGTGAGGTTGAGTTGCCTAGCTGATCTACATAGGTAAGTTTTATCACTTCCCTGGCCCTGAGACCAGAGGGACCCTTCTATGCCAGTTCAGAGAAGGAATTGACTATAGAAGCTGGACAGCATGCCTAAGTCTCCACCTTGGCTTCCCACCTCAAACTCTCATTTTGTTCCCCTCTCAGGACCCTTCCTCTTGGATCTATTATGTGCAAGTACAGGGCCCCATGGCACAAATAAACAAAACTGCAACTCTGCCTGAGGAACTCTGTTCTTGGCTCAGACCCATGTGGTCTTCCAGGCCCTCCACTCACTGGTCAGGTGGGGCCTTACCTTCTGATTCTGGTCATGCTCTGCTATAGGTATTTGCACTTCTCCAGCTCAGCATGGCTCCATGGCCTCCCACCAGATAGTCTCACTTTGGCCCACTTAAGAACAGTGATACCATTTTAGTTCTTGTCTTCAGGAGGGAAATAAACTTTTCTGATCTCACAGAGCTCTGATTCTGAACTCTTCTTGCCTACAAAAGTACTAGGAGATTCCTCAACACCAAAAGACTGGTTTTCTCTCCAGTTAGACTTCCTTGTGGGGATGGGCTGCTTTGATGGGCATTATGTGAAGATTGCAGGCATGGGTTCATATGATTGAATCTCAGTCCTGTTACTTTCCAGCTGTGACCTTGGGCAGCCTGCCTATCAAATGAGGATAACACCTCCTACCTTACAGGACTGCTATAAGTGTTACATGTGAAAAACCCCAACCCAGATGCATTATTTGGTGGGATATGCTACTACCATGGAATCATCAGCACCATGTATGGTACAATTCACACAGTGGAAATTGAATGTTTGTTGAATAAATACATATCCCAAAGTACTGAGTAATCAAGTATCATGTTCAGATCTTGGCTCTGCTGCTTGCTAGTTTCATTTGCCCCTCCAGGCCTGCTAGCTACCTTCTGCCCACGAGGCTGACCTGCATGGATTTTAGGACACATGCTTTTGTAAAGCCCATTGGCAGTATTGGAAGCCCAGTTTCATTGCAGTGGTGCTCTGTTTTCTCGAGGACATGGCAGGACCTTATGATGTTCTTCCTACTTAGACTTCATATAATGTGGTATTACCACTGTCTCCCAAAGACACAGCAGAGGGTGATACCTATGCTAGGGCTCACACTGGTTCTTGCAGTGGACCTTCTCTAGAAAAACAAGAGGGAGGTATGAAAACCCAAACTCAACAGAGATAGCCTGGAGCTTCACTGTAATCATACCTTCTGCATATTTCTCAGGATTTTGGTTTTCAAGGAAAGACTTTGCCTGGCCAGGGCAGCATCTATAATTTTTTTTCTAAATATTATTTAATGCTGATTATTTGTTAAATAATAATGGCAAAGGTTTTGTTTAGTTCAAATATAAATAGGGCTATAGAAAAGAGACTAAAACAACCAGAGAACTTAGGTCTTGTTATAACCAACACAACCAGAAGTACATTATTGAAAATGGTATCTCTAAGCTCACTCAAGAGAAAATCTGAGTAAAGCAGTTTAGAATCAAGCGTGCCTTGGTGCCAGGCACATAGCAAGCACTGAATCAAGGCTGGTTCTTATTGTTATTCCAAGCCTAGCATTGCTTTTGTCTTTCTTTTGGCTAAAGAACTTAATAAAATAAATGTATATTATAAATTTCTATGATTACTGACTTGGGGGGAATAACAGGAGAAAACAAGAAAGACAGCCTATCACTTCTCATTACTTAATGAAATCTTTCCATTCAGGTGACTATTTCCTATTATCTAACAAAACACTTTCCATATTTTAAACCATTTAGGGATGGAAACCCTAACTTTAACCATTTGTTACCTAGAAATTAAGAACTCCGTCAGCACCATGATGGGTTTAAAGAGTGCTTTTCTAGTACTCAGACTTGGGAAGAGAAGGGATGAGGCATTTTGCTGAAGTCTAACAGAGGAACTCTCACCTTCATGTCGAGAGAAAATTGTTCCCTACCATTACCAAGAATAAAATTGGGGGAATACTTTAAGTGTTGCATAATGTGTTAGAGATGGTATTTCTGAAGTTGTATGGTGTGGTAGGCAGAACGCTGGTACCCTGAAAATGCCCATGTCCTAATCTCTGGCAGTTGTGGCCATGTTACCTTCCATGGCAAAGGGACTCTGTGAATGTCATTCAGTTAAAGACCTTGAGATGGGGTGGCCCCAGGGCAATCACAAGGGTCCTTAAAAGAGTCTAAGGAAGAGATATGAGGAAAGAAGCAGAGGTTGGAGCAATGGCAATTGCTGGAAGGCCATCATGAGACAAGGAATGCAGTGGTCTTGAAAAGCTAAAAAAGGTGAGGAAATGGATTCTCTCCTGGAGCCTCCAGAAGGAACACAGCCCTGCTGACACTTTGATTTTAGCTCAGTGAGACCCAGGTCAGCTTCTGGCCTCCAGAACTATAATATAATAACTTTGTGACATTTTAAGCCACTAAGTTTGTGCTAATTTGTGACAGCAGCAATAAGAAATAACACATGGGTTGGCCTCAAGCCTTTGTAAACATAGGTTTTTTATCACAATTTACACAGAACCAAGACTCAAACTTCCTAGCAGTTTTATTTGTTGGCAGAATGCCCTTTTTATAATTTTTTTCCTAAGGTGTATTTTCTACCTGGTACCTTAGAAGTCCACACCGGGCACCTGCCTTTTTGATTTGGCAGAATCTGTATGTGCCTTTTTGATTTGGCAGAATCTGTATGTGCTCTGCTACTTTCTGCAGGTTACTGACTCCCTCACTAATGCTGGGCTGCTGCCTTCCGGGGGTGCTACAAAGCAGGAGTGGTCTGCCAATGGTTTCACAAACCAAGATTAAAATGAATTAAGTTGATCATTATTCTTTTCAGGCCATGCCCATGCCTCACAAAATAGGTCACATGAGACCCAAGGGAAGGTAGTAGCCTCTGCTAGAATACACTTAGCCTCACTCTTAGCCTAAGTGGCTTCTGAGTTAAGGTGAGAACTCCTCTCTCAATATTGCTCCTGAATCTAATAGGGGGAAGGACATGGGCCTTGGAAATAAAGAGGTTAAACCACAGCTTGGAGACATTCTTCCTAGCCATGTGGCTTTGTTCAAGGCACTTAACCAGTGGACTTCCTTTCCTTCATCTAGAGAGGCTAACACCTTCTTTGCAAGTTGATTAATAAGAATCTACATTAATAAAATGAAGTTTGTTATTCACTGCACCCCATGAAGACAGGTGGGTATTATAGATGGATGTTTGGAATGAACTGACTTAAAATGAAAATATGAAGAAGAGTTTTCTATGGAGAGCCTTGGCAGGAGTGAGAAGGCTCTCAAAGAAAGATGCAGTCCCCTCCAGTGTTGCTCACATTGACCAAAGGCAGAAGGCCCTTATGATGTCACCCTTGAAACTACAGGCATGGAGATTAGGACAGAGAAAAGTCAATCTTCTCAAATACAAGACACAGTGGCAAACATTGCTTTTCAATCAAGCTACTTTTCCAATGAGCAGCACTACAGTGTGTGACATGTGGGTACCTGTAAGGGTTTAAGAATCATTTTTAATTCCCCAGGGCAGTGGGTCTCAAAGTGGGATCTCTGGACCAGCAGCAGTGGCA